CGACATGCCAATGACCCGAGTGGTACGTGGCGCACTTGCAAGGGTGTCAAGGTGTCCGTCATGGCTTCCAACAGAACATGACCTCCATCCAGATGTTCAAATGCGTGCTGGCCTCCAGAGCTCCACAGTCTCGGCAACAAGCCAGAGATACAGCACGACAACGACAACAGTTGCATTGGCCACAGCGGTCTAGTCAATGATATCCATGACTACCACTTAATGCCTCTGCGGCAGACATGCTGTTCGATCTTTCTTCTATACCGATGTTGTTGCTCTTCTTTTCTGGCGCTGCTTCGGCACGTGGTTCGCAGAGCCTGTCTGAATTCTGCATCACCCACACCCTCGATTTTTTGAGCGCCTTGAAGACACGCGCAGTGCCCCAAGCAACGCTCGCTGTATCTCCGGAAAACGGGATTTTAGTGCTGTTGTCTGCATGTCTGAGGGCCCGTGAAGATGTCTGATTTTCTGGCTGAACCGAGTGATAAATGGTCCAGCTGATTGAAAGAGGTCAGGGTTGGGCATCGTGAAAGGTGCCGGGTCAGGTAATGGAATTTTGCCACTTGAGCCACTTAGTCCAGGCCCCTCTTCTGATCCCCGGGATGTGAGCAGGGATTCTCCGGCTTCTCAGGCTGAGCAGCAGTCTGTGGCTATGCTCTCCCCTCGGCCGAGTTCAGCTCTCGGATCTACGCCATTGTGAACCAAGGACAGCAGCATTGCAGAGCAGTAGTTTGCTTTTGGGTTTGGTACTGTATCTTGTTTTGGGTTGGGGGCCTTGTTAGGATTCCCCCAAGCGGTGCCATGTTCCAGATCATTGGAGGGCCCGGGTAGTTGCGCAGCTCAATAATAGTCCACAAAGTTACCGCTGGCATATGACCAGCGATCGGACCGGCGATATAGTCTAACAGTGCAATGGTCAATGGTCTTCACGGCTATGGGGTTGGATTTAGGGATTGTCGAGCTGGGGCCACAACAGCCCACTGCCAGGTCAGTTCTGCCACTGGGGTAGTTCCCAAAATTGCGGGTCCCATTTTGATACCCCTGAACATTATGTGCCGTAACATAATCTATAACCCAGAGGGGCCCATAATTTTGACTCGGACCTCCATCTGCCAGAAGGAAACCTATGTACCCAATTTGTGTTTCTTGGTGTTTCCAGCGCTGCCGTGTTCTTCTGCATCATACTCTCTTCCCCGGTCTTACCCAGCCCTAACCAAATATGTGGCATTCCGTGGGCTTTGTAAAGCAGTGGGGAGGTTTGGGTGAAGAATACTAGCACAGTCTGCAGACAGGGTATGCTTAGCAGGCAGCTGAAACCTCGCTGCTTTGTTTTTATCCACGGTTCTCACGCAGTGCTTCTGAGGTCGAGAGCCTGATCCTGGTTTGACAGGCCCGGTCATATGACATGCTGCGGAGCAGAGAGGTTCTTCTTTTCTTGCTGACTGGATTAGTATCCTCAGGCTCCAGGGAGCGTGGGTTTGTTCGGGATTGGGCACTAGCTTTGGACGATACCTCTGCCAGGAAGGATTAACGGTGTTGACCCCTTATGGGCTTATTAACGTCTAGTTGGACTTGCTGTCTTCAGCGTGCTTGCTTCAAGGAGAAATTTTGCAGATTACCAACAATATGTTATTCCAAGGCGGCAGCGCATAGCCTGCTGCAGGCCTGCAAACTTTCATTGGTGGAGCGATCAAAAGGATTCAAGATGAGGGGGGTTTGGTGGTTATCTTAGTTATCTTGGTAAGTTGCGCCTCATGAACGGGGGGCTTGGAGACCCAGATTGAGTGACCTAACTTTCCCGGTGTACATGTTTAAGGGTTGGGGAGGGAAAGCAATCACATGTTGACCGAACACGCCCGCTCAAATGCCATGACTGACAATGCTTGAGCAGCATGGTCCCCAACGTCCTAGTAAGACTCCTAGGCATAGCTGCCCGCGCACACTTTGGAAGATTCTAGGTAGTTGCACCGCCAGACCCCAAACATGTTCGCCAATCCTAACCCAGACCCCCAAAGGGATCTGAAATTAGATCCGCCAAAACATGCTAAAACCATATGGGAAAATACATAAGGATTATATAGGGGTTATACTGGGTCTATATGGGAGATCTAATTTTTAGATCCTCCCAGGGGCCTGGGAAGCCCTTCTAGTATTCAACTATTCAGACCTTAGACCCTATAAAACATCAACCGTAATCCCTATAAACCCTCAACCCCCTAAAGCCACTAAACCCTATGAACCCTAAATGAGCTATAGCCTAAACTCCTAGTACCTCCTTGAATACCCCCTTAAAGTACATAATCCCCTATCTAACGCCTTTATGGAGTTTAGATTATTGCTCAAATAGCCCTTAAACCCCAAAACATAAAACCCAAAACCGTAAACCCTAAACCCATAATACCTGTATACCCAAAACATAAACCCCTAAACCCTAAACCCATAATACCTGTATAACCTTGCGCTCAAATGGTAGTTTCCCAAAATTAGGGGGACTCCAATATAGACCCCAAAATACTATAATCCTTAATGGTACTCCCAATTTTGGGAAACCTCCGAATAGCCCCAGAACGAACTTCAGGACGCGGCAAATCGCAAGCCGAGGCCGTGGACCTCACCTCAGCCGGGGTTTAAAGGGCTTAGGGTTTTACATTATAGGGGGGTTTAGGGGTCTAGGGTTTATGGAGTTTAGCATTTAGGGTTTAGGGTTAGGGGGGGGTTTAGGGGGTCTAGGGTTTATGGGGTTTAGCATTTAGGGTTTAGGGTTAGGGGGGGGTTTAGGGGTCTAGGGTTTATGGGGTTTAGGGTTTAGGGTTTAGGGTTAGGGGGGGGTTTAGGGGTTTAGGGTTTATGGGGCTTAGGATTTAGTTTTAAGGGGCGGGGATTAGTATTATGGGGTGATTTAAGGAGGATATTGGGAGTTTGGAATGTAGCTTGCATTGGGCTTTGGGGCTTTTGGAGGTTTGCTGGCTTAGGGTTTTAGGTATGGCATGGTAGGGGTAGTAGGGGTTAGTTGGATATATATATATATAAGATATAGATTGGCCCCACCCAGGAACAGCCTATACTAGGGGGTTATATATTATAAACATTATCCAACTGTTACTGAGTGGGGGCAGTACCCAAGATATGGATGTATAGAATATACACTAGCGAGCCCCCCGATTATGGAAACTCCCAAATGGCAAAATCCTCGAAGACACAGCACAATACAAATACAATCCTTTCTAGATGTGAGAGACGCATACATTCAAGAAAATCTATGCTGTCACTCGCCCGAGGGCTTCCAACAAAACCTTCAGCAAGGCATGCACAAGTACATAGAAAATACCCCTGTCTGGCTTTGACTCCCATGAGCACTACATGTTATAGGCCATTTTTTCAGGCCCTAAACCTAAACCCCTAAACCCTAAAGCCTAGAGTCTTCAACGAGTAATTGCTTTGGGCCTTAAAGTCTATGAAAACTACTTAGGTTGTTGGAGCGCAACTGGTTCACCAAGGCATCCCTTCTCCGAAAAATCCGGGACGACCCGAAGACGGATGCGAGGCCTTAATTTACCCTAAGGCTCCATGTAGGTAGGTACTATTTATAGGGTTTAGGGCCCAATGTAGATATTATTTATAGACTTAGAGCCCCAGGGTTAGTACATGTGCACGGCGTCCGAAATCCCAATGAGGGATATGGGATATTCTCGAAGTTCTGGGCCCCTTTTGGGTTGTAGATTATATTGCGTCACCTAAAATGTAAGGGTAACCAAGGGGGGTCCTAGTTTTGGGAATCACCCAAATGCATATGCAGTGTTGATGCTTTCCAGGCAAGGGATTCGGTTTTATAGTTGCCTGGAATGGCAAAAGCCGATTCAAAAACCCCAAGTGATACTATTTTCAAAACTTTGGCTTCATAAACCTATAGAAGCTCCAGCGCCTTGCAGGCGTCCTTATACGCGAGCCTGTTGTATGTATCCTGAAATTATGCCTGTAGTCAGCCGTCCCCGGCATTCAGCAAGTCCAGTTGAGTGTGATGGATGCCCAAATCCCGAAACCCCAAGTCACAAGTCCCCGCCGCTAGCCATCGCGGCTCAAAACACGGCCTCCTCCGGTGCCTGCGCCCTGCAAGTGCAGAGGGGCGAGCTGTTTGGCTGCAACACGGGCGGTGGGTGGGAGAGGAGGGGGGGAGGGGGTGTTGGGGGGAGGGCTGAAGGGCTTGAATTCAATTTGGGTTTCAGGGTATATTCAAGATTGAGGTAGGTCACCCTTACTTGGAGGTTCATGGATAGTCATATTTATCGCAAGACGATGAAAGACTAGGAAGAAGTATAGTGCCAAGCACTTACTTACATCCTTTTCCTAATGCAGACTAGTTATACCGTTATACCCCTGCATGCAAGTACGTCCTTGCGGAGCATATACCCTGGAGGTCTGGTTGTCCTACGTACTCAATCTATGGGATCTCCCACACCCCCTTAAGTAGACAGAATATGGCTTTGGGTATATTATGATAAGATCCCCATATACCCTATATTCTATCTACTTAATGGGGACTATAACCCTAGACCCTAATCCCTAAACCCTACATGAGTTTCCAGCTTTAGGGTTGAAGGCTAGGTGAAGCAGTGTTTGCTCGTTTTGTCCTCTACACATTCCACGCGGAAGGCAGGTGTCGAGGGCAGTGGTTCAAGTAAGGAGGCTGTTTATTATGACTTCCATCCCCAAAGGGCTTCAAAAATCCATGTTTCCAGGCCCAGGACCTCGGGTAGCTTGCGCAACCTCTGTTTTTGAGTAGTAACGGGCGGTTCCTTGCAGCAGTGCTAGCAAAACTGCTTTTGTTATGACGTCGTTGTGAGCAGCCCCTGATCTGATCGCTGCTCACGTAATGGATTCTGGGGTCACTAGAGCCAGCCTAAATGTATGGTTTTTCTGAAGGCTTAGATTTTGCTCCAATAAGGGCCCACCTAAGCACGGCACGCTTGAAGGAAGCCTTTCCATTTTCAGGTCCTGCACGTCCTATGGCGGAAACCGCCAATGGCCGGGAAACAGGAGCAGAGGAAGCCCTGGTTGCGCCCTTCGACTGAAGTGGACCTACTGAGAACCATGTTTCCTTCAGCAGCTATTTTCTACAAGGTTCCTGAAAATAATAATTTCTGTTACCAACAATCCCAATATTTAGCTGAAATTGTAATTTCTACTGGGGTTCCAAATCCCTGTACGACTTAGGCCTACAAGAGCCCACTCGGCCTTGGCTTGGGGGGGGAGCGTGTGGAATGATGTGTTGGACATTGTTGGATGCATGAAGTTTCAGCTAGCTAGGTTACCAGAGTTTTGGGCATGGCATGTCCTGTAAGCGACAAAAGGTTCAAAACAGCTGGAGGACCAGAAACCACACAGCGAAGTCAGCCAGCCTGACATGTGGGGTTTAGGGTTTATTGGGCTGCTATGGCAGTGGAGAAGGGGGACTTGGAGATTTTAGCCCTGGTAATGCAATGCAACTGATTAGCGGTCGTGCCCAGAGCAACGCTGGAAACAGGATTGGCAGCGGTGCAATCAACACGGGACTGTGGCGTCGGGGGCATGATGATATTCTCCGCAGCAGAAGCAGCAATTAAGCCTGAAAGCTTGAATCCTCACGGCCCCAGAGTGAGCTTTGCAGACCATGCTTCGCCTGCAAGACCCTTCACGCGCCAACTCCACACAATAGAAATCTTGCCATGATAGGTAGCCAAAAGACAGATCACATATGCATGCTCAACCGAACCTTCATTGGGGATGCTTAATTCGTCCAGGCTGAAAGGCAAAGATGTGGAGGAGCGCAGCATGCTGCCGCTTTTGAGCTTTTCGGGACATTGAGAAAATACCCCATGTACATATGCACTGTGCGCATAAATTTGATGGCTTACAAGCAGGCCTTTTCTTGCCTGCGAAAGACTCTGAACACTGCCACCCTGCAATCTGGAACCACACAGGACAGCTGGTAGTTTCCCAAAATTAGGGTACCCCAATATAGACCCCAGTATACTATAGTCCTTATTCTTGGGACCCCCAAAAAGGTACCCCTAATTTTGGGAAACCCCCATCTCAAACAACCACTGTGATCCCTAAAGCTTTGAAGGACCCCCCCCCCCCGCGTGATCACCTGAACCCAAATCCTCCAAAGCACACCTGCAACCACCGACTACAACTATACCCTTCTACGATTTAGGAACATGTAAAATAACTGCCCTCTCAAGCCTAGACCTTTGCCTCTTTGATGGAACCCCCTCTTTATGGAAATGAACGCTAGTCTTAGTCAGACAGGCTATTTTGTCCCCCGGACACAAACGGCAGTTGGGCCCCAAACTAGTTCTAACGGGAACCCCTTTGACCGTAAGCAACTGCCATATACCTAATGCATTTGGGGTTACCTACAAAGACTGAAACGACTTTACTGGGAACCCCAAACAGGGAACCCCAAATATACCTACCAGGATCCTGATATTCCATTATATTCCTGCTATATTCTTGGGGTTCTCTGTTTGGGGTTCCCATTAAAACGCTTTTAAAGACAACGTCGGAGGAGCTCAAAGCAATGGCCCAACGACTGGAACGCGGCCAGCAGTCGCTGCAGGCCGGGGCTTCCAGGCGTAGGCCAAAGATGGCATAGGGTTTAGGGTTCAGGATTTAGGGTTCAGGGATGTTTAGGGTTTGTTTACGAGATGCAAAAGGGTTTATTTAGGGTTTAGGACTTAGAGTTCAGGGTTTAGCATTTAGGGTTTAGGGTTTGGGAGTTAGGGCTTAGCATTTAGGATTTAGGGTTCAGGGAATAGGGCTCAGGAGACAATATAGCAATCAATCGCATAAACGGATGTTGTAGAACAATATGGTCAAGGGAGTACTTCTGAAGCTATAGCAAGTGTATGCAAGTGTAACAATAATTAGCAGTATAATGGTCGAGAATGGTAGTTCTTGCAGACGTGTTGGTAGCAGCGGCTGTGACGGTGGTAGTACTAAAGCTGTTTCCAGTAGGGTCGTCACGATTCTTACTGCTGCCATCAGTACTCTACTACTAGGGGCAGTAGTCGCAGCAGTTTGAGGGGTGGACAAGGAAAGCTTGCACAACTTGGGATCCGCAAAAGGTCTGTGTTGTCTAAGGTATTAGGATGTATTAGGGTTTTGTAACGTGGTGCAGGATATTCCTTTTCACAGTGGAAAACGAAAACATGTAGGAAACAGAGTGCTCTTTTGGACATCCTTCTAGGTCATCACTAAGCCAGGATTTCGTTCTAGGCGTTTACTTCCATTATTTTCTGATATAGTGTAGATCACAGGCTTCCACCTTTGGAAGCACGGGGCCCCTTTCAGTTCTTTCTCGGGAAGCATATGCCGTATTGCAGTGTCTGCGGCACCATTCACATGTTCAAGCCCTAGCCCTCTATACATATAACTGATACCCCTCATCTTCTGATCCCTAAACTCTGAACCCTGTACATCCTCATATAGGAGCGCATTGACGATAGACCCTGGCAAGTTGGGCCTCACTGCTGGGACTTGGTGCGCTGTACTCTCACTAGACCTTTTATATCTTCCGTGTTTGTCGCGGGTGGCGACAGTTGAGGTCCGCCATACTTGACCCTGACTTTGCCGGATTCGAACCTTGCCAACCTCTCCCAGCCATAAATGAGGCGCAAATACATCTCCAGATAGCTTTACATAGCCTTCATACCCCCCATGTGATCCTCGCAAAGCCCCTTAACAAGTGGTACTCCTGAACCCTGAACCCTGAAGCTCTGCTGCAGGAGATGCTGCAGGAGCTGGAAGCTGAGAGGGAAGAGCTCCACAAGGAGAAGGCCAATGCAGCTGCTGAGGGTTATAGTCCCCCTTAAGTATATGGTTTTGGGTATATTATAATAAGATCCCCATGTATCCCATATTCTATCTACTTAAACGGGACTATATGCTGGCCTTTGGTTAGCTGGGAATGAAGGAAAAGAACATGGCAACTACTATAGTGGGGTTATTGAGGGTTTAGGGTTGTAGAAGGAATGGAACAGACACTGGAAACTAGTACAATGGGTTATATAGGGACTACAATAAGGATCCATTCCTTCATTCCTAGCTATAGTCCCCCTTGAGTAGATAGAATATGGCCTTGGATGTATACCCCATATTCTATCTACCTAGGGGTGACTATAACCAAAGGTCAGGCTGAAGATTATGGGGTTGATGGTCTTTCCTGTATAAGGTTTGTAGGGCTTGAGGGTGTGGGGTTTTAGGGAAAACCCAAGTTGTAACCAGGCGTAGTAGGGCTTGTATAGGGGAATGGAAGAGAAATGGGAAGCGACTATTGTAATTGTTCTTTCGGGTGTGGGGTCAAGATGATTTATGGCTACAGTTTAGGAATTAGGGTCTATATCATGGTTATGTAGTAGTTTTACAGGGATCTAACGGAGAATGAAGTTTGGAAAGGAGCATGTGAGTAATGCATGCGTTACATCCAACCATCCCAGACGGAAAGCGCGGTTGAAACAATAGTCGGCTTACTTGCGTTCAGAAAGAGTTGGAGGGTTATTTTGTGCTGTTGCAGCAATGCTTGCCAAGCAATGCCACCAACTGCTTGACCCCCAGGCGCAGCTCAACGATACCATCACGCTCTTCATGAAGGACGCTAAGACGCCTGTAGCAGTGCCTCAAGTCCTATGTATGTATCAGCAAGGACTTCTTATTGTTCGATTCCCTGCCTCCTCCTTGGGTTTGCAGGGTCATAAGGCATTGAGGCTGTTTTCTTCTATGCGAAGCGCCGGAAGTCTCGTCACACGCTTTCAGCTCAGCACGGCGCCAGCAAAAGCTCTAAGCTTTCTCCAATCAGAATGCACAGCATTCAGCGTGTTGTTTGGGCTTGCCGCTCTGCTTCGAGACACGCCGGGGCCTGTTAGAAGCTTGGAGAACCGACAGCTAAACCAAGGACACAAGCCCACGAATTCACGTTTACTGACTTGCCTAGGGATATAGAGCAAGACCATAATTAGGAGTAACAATACAATAATAGCAATCTTCGCATGCCTAACTCCAGGCACCTCCTTCACATGTTCTGTTGAAGCCTTGTTGATTATCAATGCTATCTTTTCCATATTCCTTATAGAATTGCTGCATATTATGCCCCACAACTTTTTCTGGTTATATCGGCCCCAACATGCTCAATCCCCATGAATCCCCATGTAATCTCAGTGTCCATGGGATTTCTATGCTCTTACCCAGCTGATTCTCGTTTATTGTATCTGGTGCTGATGTGAGTGCAAGGAAAGCATGGGGCCTGAAATCAGGCTGCCCAAGACCTTATCCCGCTGAGACTCACACTGGAACTCAGGATTTTGAAGCCCAAGTATATTGATGGCCACCGTGCTTGCCGCGCCAAATGCTTTTGCAAAAGTTTGCTGTTTTTTTTGTTCAGCGCGACTTGTTTTGGAGCATGGAAGGGGAAACCCGACTGTGGCATCAGGCTGCATACCAAGCGGTTGCTTGTGATTATGGGTTCGCCCTGGTGGCGCCCGAAAGAATTATATTATAGTTGACCAAAGCATGAAGCCAGTTGGGACGGTAAAATAAGCCCGCGCCTCGTGGTTTAGTCTGGGTAGGTCCCTTAAGTTCTTGCCCTTTTCATAAACAGCCTTCTCCGATAACCAGAGGAGAATTGCCGATAGGGACAGTTCATTATAAGCAGTTCGATCAGAGTGTTTTTCCATTCCAGGTGATGACTTCTACCGATAACGCTACCGATAACCTACCGATAAC